TTTTTTTTTTTTTTTTTAGTTTTTTTTTTCTTTTTTTTTTAATTATTTATATATTATGTATACAATATTCTGTCTGTGTGTATGTCTGCTGGCCAGAAGAGGGCACCAGACCTCTTTACAGATGGTTGTGAGCCACCATGTGGTTGCCGGGAATTGAACTCAGGACCTTTGGAAGAGCAGGCAATGCTCTTAACCACTGAGCCATCTCTCCAGCCCCCCTTTCCTTACTTCTTATTCTGTGGCTGGCTGTATAGCTGGTTGGCTGGCTCCTGATTTCTTCCCTCCTTCTTTTCTATTTTTCTCCTCCTATTTATTCTCTCTGCCTGGCAGCCCTGCCTGTCCCTCTCCTGATAGCTATTGGCTGTTCAGCTCTTTATTGGACCAATCAGGTGTTTTAGACAGACAAAACTTTATAGGGTTAAACACATGCAACATAAAAGAGTGCAACACATCTTTGCATCATTAAACAAATGTTCCACAGCATCAACAAATGTAGCACATCTTAAAACAATATTCCATAACCCACTGCAGCTATTGAGAGTGCTGGCCAGGTTTCAGCAGTCAGAGAGGCTAAAGGTCGCAGCATGTTGTAGGAAGGTGTGGATGTTTACATGATGCTTTATCAGAGAAACAGTCAAGAAGGTTCTTAAGTCAGGGCTGGAGGAGATGGCTCAGTGATAGGGGGAGGCTGTCTAGCATATAGGAAAACTTGTATGATGCTCAACATCACAAAGAAAACTTATCTGATTGTACAAGAGCCACACAAAACTAGTGTTCTGTGATTCTAACCTGCTTTACCATGAATTCCCCACCGAGGGAACAGAGTGCTCCCTCTGCTCCTGCTCTGCTGTTTGAGTGTGTCCAGTTGCTCTAAGGGCAAGCACTCCAGTGAGAACCCTGCTTGATGACATGTGTGCATTAGGGTGCAGAAGCTGGACAGCTATCAGGAGTACAAGGAGGCTGCAGCTGCCTACCAGGAAGCCTGGAGTGCGCTCCGGAGGAAACAGCCCTTTGCATCCTGGATCAGAAACCCACCTGAATACCACCAATTTAAATGAGCTCCTGCTGCCATCAGGACCCTCCCTATTGACCTGCCCCTCTTCGTGCCGTGCAAACCTCTGCTTTTCTGGTGCTTAAGTCAGAGAAGAAAGAAACGCCTTCTCCCAGAGTGCTGCACCTCATGTCAGTAAAGATGGAACCTATACCTCATCAATCTGTACTTGCTTGGAGTAGCTCCTTGCTAAAATGGCCTCTCGCCAGGTGGTGATGGTTCAACCTTTAATCCCAGCACATGGGAGGCAGAGGCAGGCGGAGTGGATCCCAGTGAGTTTGAGCCCATTCTGGTCTACAGAGCAAGTTCCAGGACTGGCTCCAAAACTACAGAAAAACCCTGTCTCAAAAAAAAAAAATAAAAAAACAATCAAGCAATAAATAAATAGATAAGCAAAACTCTCAGTAACGACCTTGATTGCTTTTAACTGGTTCTCTAAAACACAACGTCAGTTTGGGATGTGATGCTTTCTTCGGTAACCTGCAGCAGCTGTGGTTTACGCCATCTTACACTGACTCAGCAACTATACACTAGGCTGAAACTATTAATATGTCCAGGAACTTTGCAGCTTCTCCTGGAGTAGGGACCTTGTAGTTCATTCCAGCTTCCTCAGCGATCAGGCGTGGCTGAAGTTAATCCTTCTATCAGGCTTAACACAGGACTAGCCTTGGAAAGGTCTGTTTTTTGTTTGTTTAGGTGTTTGTTGCTTTTGAGAGAGTCTCACTCTGTAGCCTACACCATCCTTGACTTTCAGTCCTGCACACCAGCCTTCCAAGTGCCAGAATGATAGGCAGAAGCCACTATCGTAAGTAGCCCAAAATAGTCTCATTCTCTCCTTCCCTTCCTCTCTCCCCCTCCTTCCTGCCTTCTCTTCTTGGGACCGGACTCCCTCCATAGCCCAGGCTGACCTTAAACTCACCAGGCAGCCAAGGATGACCTTGAACTCTGATCTTCCTGCCTCTGCCTCCAACTGTACACCAACTTTGCTTCCAGGGTTCTCCTCTGATCCGTGTTGTGTTGTGAGGGTCCCTAGAATCTCATAACTGAGTAGTCGCCGTCATTTCCTGCCGCAAAGAGACAGCCAGCCCGGAGTGAAGGCAGCTGGCTGGGACTGCATGGTGACCATTGCTGCTTGGCCAAGTCCCAGCTTTTTACTTTCATTTTCAGTGAGTCTCACTCTTAATGCCTTTCCCTTTGGGGAAATTTGCGCAGGCTTTGGTAAAGGATAAAATGAATACAATGGTGACCTCTCTAAACAAAATAAATAATTCTTTGGAAAAAATCCCCACCACAGTGGAACCAGGAATTCCTTTGTGCTCTCCTGATTACATCAAATACAACAAAGTTAGACAGTTTAGAGCCTGAGGTCATTAATGACAATAAATAAATACAGAGAAATCAGAATGGGACAGAGTAAGACTTCAGAACCTTCCCTTTTGGGTGCCTTCTGAGGGAAACTGGCCCGCGTGGTAAGATTAAGAAACTGTAACGTGGTGTGTGCTCGTAGAGGTCTTTTTCCCAAGGTCAGGCATTTGGATAAGGGTCCCCATTCCCTGGGGGCTGGTGGAAAGTTCCTGCTTGATAAAGCATTCTTATCTCTAACAAGGCGGAGGGCAGGGCTTGGTGGGCCTATTGTCGAAGTCAATGCTAGATTCCTCAAGCCACAACCCTTCTCTCAGGCCCCTCACCTCCCTTCAGTCCACTGTGTTAGGTATAAAAGGTGTTTCTTTTTTTCAATTGGATTCGCCTCAGACCTTAATCAGGTCTCACACCATCATGTCCCTTCCCCCTCCATGCCCCTTTCTCTCCCCCCGACCCCCAACACATCCAAATTAGGCTCTGGAGGAAAGATTTCACTCTCACTGTTGATGCTTTTTCTCCAGCCTTCCTAAGTTACCTAATGTTATAAATGTGTGTGTGTAAGTGTTCCTTTCTTCAGAACTGTTAGAACGTATTATGATATTCAGACACACAGTGTACAAGTTCACATAGTTTGTAATGATCTGTTCTGGCCACGCCCACTCCCTCCCCTGTCCTCTGAGGCAGGCTGATCTTCAGCTCCCAGCCTGAGTCCCTTTTCTGCCTCTCCCCACTCCTCCCCTTCTGTCTCTCCCTCCTTCCCTCCCTCCCTCCCTCTCTCTGCTCTTCTCCCCTTCTCCCTTCCCTTCCAAAAACCTACTTAATAAATATCCAACCACACTATGCATGGCATGCCTATCCATGTCTCTCTTGCCCACTGCCCTCCGTCTCCTTGCCCTGGACCAGCCACTGCTCAGGGACCTACAGCTGTCCCTGCCTGAGACTGGCTGCTCTCGGGACCCCCTGCCCACTGCCTGTGGCTGCCCAGGATCCTGCAGCATTTTTATTAATCCATTACATAGTTCTGCTCAAAGATGGGGTTAAATGCCATCTTTTATTGAATGGACCATGGCCAGGATGGGGTTAAATGCCATTTTACTGAGTGGATCACGGCGGGAACAGGGTTAAATGCCGTTTTATTGAGTGGATCATGCCAGGACAGAGTTAAATGCCCTGTTTATTGAGTGGATCATGCCAGGACAGGGTTAAATGCCCTGTTTATTGAGTGGATCACGGCCAGGACAGGGTTAAATGCCCTGTTTATTGAGTGCACCATCGCCAAGCAGGAGCTCACTGCCTGAGGAAATGAAGCTGCTGTGGAGAAAGCGACCTGCTCTGGCCCCAGTGCCTGGCTGGAGAAGTGCAGGCCCTGTTTGATTTGCTGTGGCCACTGGAAAGTTGTCCCCACCCAGACCTTGACATTTTTGGCCTTAAGGCAAAGTTCCAAAGCCAGAGTTCCCAGTTTCTAAACAGCAGCTCTCTTCTGGCTAGTTTTCAGTCACCACTTGCCTCACGTATTGGTGAGAAAGCCAGAGCTGCTGGGAGCCTCACAGGAGCACAAAGGTCAGTGAAGTAGGAACTGGCTCCAAATAGAAACAAGGGGCATGTGTGCATTTGTGCGTGCGTGCGCATGTGTTCCCCTTTATGGGCTCAAGTAAAACTTCCCATAGGGCCTAAGCCAGTTAGCCAGGAGTGGCTAGATTGATTAGAAAGAACCTGGGAGACCTCATCTTGGCCACACCACCCTGAATGTCCCTGATCTCAGAGCCAGGGAGGCAGTTACCTCGAAGAAAGTACCCTTGTTTTCTGAATGAAGAGTTTATTGTATTCCTCATTTTGAGGAATCGTAATTGGCCTTGACTTCCTGTACCCGTGAATCTCTTTAAAACTAACTGTAAAACAAAAAACTGGGCAGTGGGTGGCACCTTCCTTTAATCCCAGCAGATTAAAATTGGAGGTCAGCTCTCTGAGTTGAAGGCCAGCCCAGTCTACCAAGCTAGTTCCAGAACACTAAAGACTACACAGAGAAACCCTGTCTCAAAAAACGAAATCAGGGGCTGGAGAGATGGCTTAGAGGTTAAGAGCATTGTCTGCTCTTCCAAAGGTCCTGAGTTCAATTCCCGGCAACCACATGGTGGCTCCCAACCATCTGTAATGGGGTCTGGTGCCCTCTTCTGGCCTGCAATCATACACACAGACAGAATATTGTATACATAATAAATAAATATTTAAAAAAAAACGAATCTCTGTGAGTTCGAGACCAGCCTGGTCTACAGAGCTAGTTTCAGGACAGGCTCCAAAGCCACAGAGAAACCCTGTCTCGAAAAAACAAACAAAAACAAAAAAAAAAAAAACGAAATCAAAAAACTGGAACTAAAACTAATTGTGTCTGTGATCATAATCAGGCCAGGCTATTTCCCTCTGTCGCTGTCCAAGTAGATCTGAAACCATCTTTTCAGTGGTTCTGTAGCCCAAAGGAGAGGGGGTGTTAGTCAGAGGTATTTCAGCAGTAAGTAAACCTTTGAATTCAGTGTCAAAGGGTAGGGGACTCACTGGCACTGTAAAAAAAAAAAAAAAAAAAACAAAAAAAAAAACACTATAGCCTCAAAAGAAATGGAAAGGAATATAAATCAGAGTGGTCATGCCCACTGTGAGGGTTTGAAGGAAAGAGACTCAGCAGACCTCTAGAGGGTAGAAGTCGTCTGTGTTGTCCAGTTGGTTGGTTGCTTTCTGAGCGAGGTCTAGGCTTGCCTTGAATTCCTGATGTTCCCAGCCCAGTTTTCAAAATGCTTTTACAGATGTGTGCTACCATGCCTGGCTGTTGGTCTGGGTTTAAACTGCGGTGTTAAATACAGGAATACAGGTCTTGTGGAAGCTTACTGAGGTCTGTTCGCTTTATAAAATGTAAATATACCTTAATTAGAATGTGAAAGAAACAAGTCCTAACTAATTACTTGGATAGCAGAATAAAACTGAGTATGGCCATTGGAGCAATTATGTCGTAGTGCCTCCTCTGCCCCAACTTCCAGTTGTATGTAGGGAAGGTGTTTATTGGGCTTTTTCAAGTGTAAGGTAGGATTTCTCATTTTAAAAAATTGTGTGAGTATATATGTGGTGCTACGAGTCAGACTCAGCATCTTGCACATGGCTAAGTAAGTATTCTCTCTACTCTGAGCTATTCCCCCAGCCCCATAAAAACAAAAACAAAAACATCTCTTAATTAGGTGGAGTGTGGTAGCATGTACCTTTGATCCGGGCATGAAAAGCAGAGGTAGACAGGTATCTGTGAGTTCGAGGCCAGCCTGGTCTACATAGTGAGACCCTGTCTCAAAAACAAACAAAAGTAAATTAGACCTCTTAACTGGATATATAAAATGTAATAATCTGTCCTGTCCCTTTAAGAGACAAGCCCCGCCCACTCCCTCCCCCATCCGCTGAGGCAGGCAGATCTTCCTTCCCGCTTGCAGCCTGAGTCCCTTCCTTTTCTTTCTCCCTCTCAAAGAGGCAGTTTCTGTCTCTCTCTTCTCTTTCTCTCTCTTTGCTCTTCTCCTCCTTACATTCCATAAGCCACTAAATACCCAGCCTCACTCTGCATGGTGTGCCTATCCATGTCTCCTTCGCCCGCCTTGTGTCTCCCTGCCCGGGACCAGCCACCTTCGGAGACCTGCGGTGTGGTCTCATGGCGTGCCCATCTGTCTGTCTCTCCTTGTGGCCTGCTGCAGCCACTCGGGGAACTGTGCCATCCCTGCCTGGGACTGGCTGCTCTCAGGACCTGCTGCCTGCCGCCACTCAGGGACCTGCAGTGTTTCTGCAGCTGCAGCCGCCAGGGATCCTGCAGCATTTTTATTTAATCCATCTCATAAAGCATGGGACATTTTTTTTTTCAGTCTATTGATGCTGTGGCATGCCTATGGCCTCAGTTATATTAGTGACAGGGGACAGGTACTTGAGGGGGGGGGACTTTTGCATTAATCTAGCAACTGTGGGGCTCAGAGTTTGGATTTGGTGTTTTGCCCCTATCCAGATGAACCAGCAAGGGTTAAGAATCAACATTTCAAACCAAATCTGTTTGGCACTGCTTTTAGGTGACCGAGTATGGCAGAGTCTCTGCAGGAGAAAAGGCAGAGGCAGAAAATCACTCCAAGCAGGAACCCAAACTGCCAAACATTGGTCTCAAGTGCATGTTCCCTGAAATTGGCCCCATTCCAAAGGGAAGAGCTCACAATGGCAACAGTGATGGCCCTTTGCTCCGGCGGCCAAGAGAATGAAAAGCACATTGAAACCCAGCCTCTCCAGGGAGAGGCAGTGGGCCCCTCAGCAGCAACAGCAACCTGACAATGGAGCAGGACCATAGAGCCCATTCCCAGCAGTCTTCAGTTCAACAGCAGCTTCTCTGTGAAGCCCTCTGGGGACACTGAGCAACTCCACTTCAAACAGTAGGTGCACGCTGGGTCTGATAGCTGTTTGTGCTGATTAGGTTCGTTAAGAAAGAAAATGTGCTTGTGATGCCTTAGGACACTGCTCCTTCCAATATTTAAAGCGTTTCAACAACTTTCTGATTTTGGTTTTGCCTCTTATGGGCTATTTTGGCCTCTGGAGAATGATTTTCCCAGAGGTATTTTCCTGCAGTAATAATGTTGTTCAACTAACCCAGTTCCACCAGGAATGTTCCTCTGTATTAGCATATAGCATAGTAACTGCCGCACTGAGACTGGCAGCCTAGGGCAAAGGGAGTGTGAGGGAATGACGGGACAGACTGGACTGGCTCCAAAAGAGCTCAGCGAGGAACATTTATATTACCTTCAAATCTACTTGAAAGTCCAGCTCTGCTTTGCTCTGTGTGTCTGTCTCCTTCCCAGTTCCCAGTTGAAATCCTGATTCCCAAACCTGGTGGTGGCACGTGCCTTTAATCCCAGCACTCAGAAGGCAGAGGCAGGCAGATCTCTGTGAGTTCAAGGCCAGCCTGGTCTAAAAGAGCTAGTTCCAGGATGGCAGGACAGGCTCCAAAGCTAAGACAAAGAAACCCTGGGGGGGGGGGGAATCAAAACTCATATTAAAGAAAGTGCAGAAAAGAGGCTCCAAGGACTTATATTTCAGAAAGTCACCAACTCTCAAAAGTCCCTGGAACCACGCTAGCACGTACACGCTAAGACAGGTAGAGAGAGCTTCCACTGCGGNCCTAAGCATTCTGAGATTGGGATGGTTGGGATTCCAACGGGGGGGGGGGGGGGGGGGGGGGGAATCAAAACTCATATTAAAGAAAGTGGAATGTACTCCATGTCCAAAGCAGAGCCATTTTGTTCCAACTAACTATATGCTGGAACCTAAGACACATGTGCATTTCTGTGGCGTGCATACAAGCACAGGGTCAGCCCTCCAGCTCAGAAGCAGCTGTATCCAATCTGCTGTCTAGACTGGTCCAGCATTCACCAACAAACCTAATGCTCTCCCTCGGTAGAAGCCTACAGGATAAATCTGGTCGCGGAGGCAGGTACACGTGTGCTGGCAGACTGCTTGGCCCACGGCTGCTTCCCTCCAGGACCTGCTGATGATGACAGGAACTTGACTCAGTGGCTCTGCCTCCATGCCACCCACGGGGATTGTTGTTTTATCTTGTCAGCTGGCTTCTTACTCCCTGAGAAATAAAGATGCAAAGGGGAATTCGCTGCACTTTTTTAAATCTTTCTACAGTGCAGTCCTATGTAGTCCTTTGAGACGAGAGCATTCCCATTGACTTCTCCCAGATGCTGCTGGGAAGAAATCCTCAGAAGGAAGCGGGGGAGAGGGAGAGAAAGGCAGGCGTGTGACGAGAGCTCTGCGG